ATGCAAGATGGATGTGTGAACTTGCAACATTTGTCAGTTTGCCACACAGCAGCACTGTTTCTGTAGGACTAAATTAAAACACAATGATTTCATTCACTGTTCCTGTTTCATTATCATGTCAAAAGCGCAACATCACCCTAACATTGTAATAATGATATCTAAAGATTTATAATTTTCATTTCCTGCATCCTGTTGTGTTATTACATATAATTCTTTACTAGAGTCCATCGCAACACAACGGTACAACTGTCAATGCTAAAACTGCAATCTGTATTCCCTACAGAATGAACAAAATACACTGTAAGATGAGGCACCGGCTAAACACTCAATGTCAGTACTATACTACATTTATACCATGGGCCTCCAAGCAGCTTATTACATGTATACAAGTCTAGACTGTACCATTATGTCTACGGGAATAAAAAAAAATAACAACTGACTTGATGATTTGGAATATCACATGAGGAGTTTTTAACCTTTATTTTATGACATAACTTTCATTTTTATAATAAGTTTATAGCTCATTGTATTTTATGCCATTTATTTTATAATGCGATAATTATCAAGTGTCCAGCTTTACCAACGCAATTGCAGTTCAGTAGTGTGAATATGGTAATCATGTGTTTGCCTGATGATGGCCTTAATAGCCGAAACACGTAGCTAAACTAATCTTAGGCTTGACCGTTGTATTGTTGTGCTGCGACAGACTCTAATAAAGAATTGGATATCTAAAGGGTTTAGCAGAAAAAGAGGTTGTTCTAAGTTAAAAAGAAAGAGGAGACAAAACCCTTTACAGTTTTATCTGTCTTGGCAAATAACACAGGTCCCCTATCACCATGTATAGTTTGGACATTCTGAGTCCAACAAGTAGGCATGCATGAGGACGTACTACATGCATGCGACAGTTATGGATTCCATACGTATTTTAGTCAGACTACCTGAAGAAAAGAGAGGTATGTGTATAAGTGGAAGCTGATTTCCAATAGCACTTAAAGTTGCCCCAGTTAGATTCATCCTAATGAATCCTACTAAAATACACAGATTAAAATAAGACTTGAGAACAAACTTTAGAAATGTTTGTGGCCATGTCCATAAACCTGAATGTTAGGGCTCATTATGATCAAGAGTTTTGTATGCCTTGGCCATTAAGCCTGATGATTTGAAACTCAAGATATTCTTTCCCTTTCCGTTGGCAGTTTGGTCATTCCTACTCTCATCACCCCCCATGGGCAGTGGGAGAAGGCCACTTCTGGAATGCAGTGCAATACCATTCTATCCATATATTTTCCCCAATCTGTTGGTATTTGTGTGTCCCTCTCAACCATATCTGTAGCATTAAATCTTCCTGTGTCAATATTTTTGGTGATATATTGTAGTGAAGCTCATGGTAGCCTCAAACATATGCACTTCAGCTGTCTCTAGCCACCACAACCCTACACACACTGGAGTACACAGCAGGAAACCTGAGTTGATATTCATTCAAAATCTGAGTGCACAATGTGTTCTGTATGGGAAAGCAACAGGGATATCCTGCACTGCTTATGCAATGATTTCCGCAGATGGAAAAATCTATAAAACACATTCTGGGAATATGGACATTCCATACTACTTAACACATTGATGTCTTTTAAGATGACCATCCATACCAAATTATTTTTAGACATCATGGAATTTAGCTCCTGCCAATGTGCATGCACTTATACGTCCACTGCAGTAACCAAAAAATCTATTACAATTAATATATGAGAACACCCATTCCCCAACAGTGAGTGACAAAGCAATTCTGCTCTAATCACTACATATTGCTCCTCATATGCCTTCATGGCAGTGTTTAACCTTTATCCTACTGCCCTTTAAACTTAGGCTGTGGCAGCGGTACGGAATTATTTAAAGGGCCGCTCTTAGAAATCTGTAAAAGCTGTAAGTTACTTACTAATTTTGCTCCTATTTCTGCTATTTCTGTGATAATCGAACGAAATAAACGCTGTTTTTTTCTCGAAAGAATATAGAATCAGATATTGTAATTTACAGATTGTATAAAACATGTTAAAATTTTTGCACTGACTCCAAAAAGAAATTTGCCAATTTTTTTCCTTCTCTGCGAGAATTCATACGTTTTGGACACCCCTGAATGCCATTCGCTTGATGACGACACTTAGTGCAAGTAATGGTAACAGAGCGGATGTTGTGTCTAGAGACGTTATCGCAGTCTATGTGACGAACTTCAACTGGAATGTGGTCAGTGGAAGAGAGATATAAACTCACGTGTTGTTTATAAATCTCTCCTGAACAATACGTATACTGTTCTTCTACAGTTCAATGCTAGCATTCTTTATGCATGCGTTGCCGTTGCCGTACTAACACAGCGTAATAGCTTAGTGGCTGGACGTGTTCAGTCGAGAGTAATTTCAAATTTCGTTCGTAACATGTGGTCCGTGTCGTTTGGGATATTCTGACATATTGCAGCTAATCAATGCCTCCGATACAGAATCCTGTACCGACAATTCTGAGAGTGACGTTGAAGGTAGCAAATCATAAAGTGATTTCGAAGAAGACCCATAATCTTCGTCGGCAACCTGGGGAGCACGACACCAGCGTGGCACGAGGAGTGTGAATAATTATTCAGATGGAGCTGTGGGCAAACTGTGGCAAACAGTTATAGCATCTGTCGTCGAACCTGGAAATGGACAAATAAGCTATTTCTCCATCTCCTTGGTCTGAACAGTTACATCCTGTTGTCACACAGAGAATTTCGTCTCGCTCTTGTGCGGAACATGCTGTTAGGGGTCCCCCTCGCCATCAACGGCCAGGGGTCGAACCCCTGCCGTTTTATGGGAGATATCTCGACTATAGAAGGCCAAACCACATCACTGGCCGACTTGCTATACTTCGCAATTGAGGTGTCGTGTGTGCTTTTCGCGTGGGACACGAAAGACCGCCCGGACAAAGTGCGTGAATTGCGAAATCGGACTCTGCATTTCCGGATTTTTTGAGAATTCCACACGAAGGCAACATTCCGGCAGATGATGCAGGCGGGAAGACAGACACTCCATGCAGATGGTGGCCAAAAATTATATAAGTAGGACATTATTTTCTACCTTAAAAATGTATTTCAAATAACGTCCGCACGCGCGGACTTTGCGACACCACATGGCGTCATTCGTACCGCTGCCTTTATATCTGCGACGACATACGGTGTCTTTAGTCGTTTAAAGGTTAATTAACCACAGGGACAACTTTACCTTTACCCACTGCATACTTGCTGATATACCTTCAACTGACTGCGCTGACTAAACAAATTATTGGACAATATCACAGGGAAATGGCCGCTCCCCAGTATGTATGCGTTGATGTGCCTTCAAATAACTGTTTGCAATAAACGATTTATTACATATATCACAAGAAAATGGCCGCTCCCCACTATGTATGCGTTGATGTGCCTTCAAATGACTGTTTGTAATAAATGATTTATTACACATGTCACAGGAAAATGGCCGCTCCCCACTATGTATGCGTTGGTGTACCTTCAGGTCACTGCTAGTGGTATATGACTTATTACACACATCACAGACATATGGCCGCTGGCCACTATGTTTGCGTAGATGTACCTTCAGCTGATTCTTAGTGACATATGACTTATTACACAGAGAACAGGAAAATGGCCGCTCCTCACTATGTATGCGTTTATGTATTGTCAGCACATTGTTAGTTGTAAATGACTTATTACACACAGCACATGAAAATGCCCGCTTTCCACTATGTATGTACTGATGAGCCTTCAAATAACTGCGCCTACTAAATGATTTCTTGCAAACATCACAGGCATATGGCCGCTCCCCAGTATGTATGCGTTCATGTCCCTTCAGATGATTGTGCTGATTAAATGACTTACTGCATACATGACACGAATATGGCCGCTCCCCACTATGTATTCGTTGATGTTCCTTCAAATGACCCTGTCTATTGAATGTTTTATTACAAACATCACAGGAAAATGATCGGGCTGCAGCACGTATACGCTGACGTCTCTTTAGCCTACTGCTACGGGTGAATGACTTATTATCAACATCACAGGGATATGGATACTCATTATGTATTAACTGATGTTCATTCAGCACAACCTGCAAAAGAGAAACAAACATTATAACAAATCTAATTGGAAGAAGGTTTCTCCTCAGTCACTCCAGAAAATACTATGATATTATATGTGGTGTGTTCAGAGAGTTTTGGAACTTCTGAAATAGCATGCCAGCACAATGTCTTAGCTATGTTGGCTAAGTTGTGTTGTCTAGTGATATGCTTCCTAACTGCTGTGATTAGTCATCACCCTACAGCTATTTGTCATTGTGTGCGTACTGCAGTGTTTCTCAACCCCCAGGCCATGGCCCAGTACTGGGCCCTTATCTAATAAAAAAAAAAAGAATCTACAGGCCCATGATCTGACAAAGGTTGAGAACCAGTGTAGAGTGTGTCTTGCAATATTCAAGATGGCTGATATTCATGAGCCGTGTATTAACATTAAATTTTGCTTCAAGATATGGAAAACGTTTACGGAGACCATGAAATGATGAAAAACGTTATGGTGATCAGTGCATCAGCTGCACATGTTGTTATGAATGGTTTAAGTGATTTAAGGATGGTTGGCAGTCAACACATGATGAGCAGTGTTATGGACGGTCCTCAGTGTCATGTGACAAAGTTCGTGTTGCACAAGTTCGCAAAACTGTGAGTTCTAATCATCATTTGACAGTGTAGCAAATGGCAGAAGAGTGCAACATGTCCATAGGATGTCATGGCATTCTTACAATAAAATTAGAAATGCATCCGTTAGTTTCAAAGTTTGTCCCACAACTTCTGACGCAGGATCAGAGAGAGAGTCGCATTGCCATGTGCAGGAACTTTTGTATCATGCTAGCAAAGATGAGATTTTTCTGAAAAGAAATATGATTTGGATGAAACATGGGTGCATGGATATGGTGTGGAAATAAAAATGCAGTCTTCAAAATTGGTTGGAAAAAAATCGCTGAGGCCAAAAAGTAGCAGTGGGTAAGGTCGAACGTGACAGTTGACAGTTCTTTGGCATCAAGGGTATTGCGCATCATGAATTCTTACATCAGGAGCAAACAGTAAATCGCTGGTATAATCTTGAAGTGCTGAAACATCTAACAGAAAATGTCAGGAGAAAAAGACCTCACCTGGGAAGAGATAACTTCTGGATCCTGCAGCATGATAATGTGCTAATTCACTCATCGCTACTGCTTTGTGGCTTTGTGGCCAACATGAACACAACTGTGCTTCCTCAACAGCCCTACTCACCTGACCTGGCTCTGGCAGACTTTTTCTTACTTCCGAAACTGAAATCCACTCTGAAAGGATGACTGATTTTGCACGATTCAAGAGATTATGGAAAAATTTGCAGACAGAGTTATGCGCAATCATGAAAAAGGCATACCAGGACTGTTTCCACAAGTGGCAATGATGTTGGGAGCAGTGCATCAATGCAGGAGGGGAGTACTTTGAATGTGATAAGGCTCACTCAGTTCCAGGTATGTCCAAAAAAGTAATAAAAAGAGTTCCAAAATTTTTTGAACAGATCACACATAGATTAAGCCACAACTGGTTCCATACAAATCCTTTTCAAATCATCATACACCAGGGAGTGGAGTGGTCATTCTTGGTAAGGATGTGGACCACTAATAGGATCTTGCAAACATACTCGTATTTACAAACTTTTATTTTCCGTATGGTGTCTCCACCTTATCGTGGTGAGGGTGTTTGAGTATGCCAAGGACCCTGAGAGCAATACCAGCGGTAGCGTAGCTACTGGCAGGGCCTCCCTTGCTGGACAGGTCAAAGGGTAGGCATCAGACGAAGAGAGACACCGAAAACTGATGCCGGAAGCAGCGTCATCAGCGGCGACTTGAAGCACAGAGAAAATAATGCTCGAGATGGTTCAAGTTCGTATAGCAACAGGCGTGACCAGAGTGGTTTGAACGGCTGTTGTACTGCGATGTGGAAAGCAAATGGAAAAACTACCACATTATCACTATTCCTGGATAGTCTCTTTCCAAAAACAGAAGATCGCTTTAAGTGGAGAAACTGTTTTGGAAGAGGCTGTGGACCTGTCATCTGACAGATTACTGATGAATGAATGAATGCAGGAGGGACACGTAGCCAACAATAACTGTGCCAGCAAGGGCAACAGACATTTGGCAAGGGGACAGATGGGCAATCACAGGGTTCCAGGACAAACTAGTCATCTAATTTCCTCAGATGCAATACGGCGTGCATGGATAACATGACAACCCCAGTGTTGTAAGATTACACAGCCACTGTCTAGCAACAGAAAACTCTATGGTGATTCTCTCTTGAATTTTGAGTTTAGTTCTGACCCTTCTTGGCAGACCGATATTCTCCTCATCTTAAAAAATGTCTGTCCCCTGTGAAAAAAGTTTGTGCCACTTAAAATACAGCAATACGGCACAAGACTTCTTCGCTGCATGCTTTCTTGATCATCTGATACGTTTTGCTACCAGATTTGCCTAATTTTGGGCAGAAACTGATGTTTTCCCATTCTTCAATCTGCACCATTTTTTATTTCTGCCTCTCGCAGACAACTACCCATTACAACAGAGACTTTCCTTCTGAATACATTGCACACATGCAGTTGCTTCTTGCTGGGATGAAAGAAGAATGGGCACGGCACCCTCTCGCAGCACAATGAACCCACTGTAGTGCATAACAGCTCCACTATGTGGCAAATCCACAGTATTTTTTACTGCACTATGTATGTTTATATGGTATTGGACTGCCATCTCTTCTGGCTCCACTATTCCAGCTTTCAAGAGTGATGGAATGAAGCTCACTAATACAAATTATATGCCGGTCACGGTAGCCGAGCAGTCTAAGGCATGCACTGTCTTCACTCGCTTGGAAGCCGGGATCGTGGGTTCGAATCCCACTCAGGGCATGGATGTTTGTGTGTGTTTTTCTGTGTTTGTCTACAGGTAGATGCCTTGTGACGAGCTGATCACTCACCCAAGGAGTCCTACCGCATGTGTAAAATCTAGTAAACCGAAGTGAAACGGAGAGTTTCATGGAGGTGAGCCTAGGGCCAAATTGGGGCTGTAGCGCCACAGAAAAAAAATACAAATTATATACCACGGAGAATATATACACAAACACCTTTAATATAACCCATCAAGAGAACAAAAATACAGAGCTATGTATATCTTTATTCCATGTCACCATAAAGAAGAATGGCTGACAGACACTGGCTAGGAACAAAATACTTCTCCTACATCTGCAGAGGGATCAACTGGAAGATGAACCGAGGGTCAACTAGGAATTAGTGGTTGGGGTATCCTTGTGAGTACACAAGACAGGCAGCTGCAGTTGCCTGGCTATCAGCTGGGAAAGAGAATAAGGAACTCACCGCATGTTCAGCCTTTATTCCTGGAAAGGATATCAACAATGGATCCTCCACCTCCTCAACATCTGAGAACTCTTCAACTTTTATACTGATGGCCTGAAATGCATCATGAGCAGTTGTAGGACATGTGTCACTACATGAACCTGGGATATCTTTCTGTGGATGTGCACAGCCCTGTAAAACCAGCAAACCCGTATCAGTCATGGCTGTGCACTCTCATTACACAGAACAGCATACACTTTCATTACTATGATCATTGTGCAGTGCAGTCACTGGATATGACACAAAAATGCCTCACAGTGGATACAGAGGGAACATACAACTCACCTCATGTTCAGCCTTTAATCCTACAACTGTCATTGGCACAGGATCCTCCCCACCTTCCATATCTGAGAATTCTTCAACTTTTATGTTGACAGCCTGAACTCCACTGAGTGACAACGATGAACAAGCCTCACTATGTGAGCCCGGTACATCCTCCTGTGAATCCAAGCAGTTCGGTAAAACTACCATACCCTTATCAGTATTGGCTGTAATGTCAACACACAGAACAGGATACACTTTCATTACCATAAACATTCTGCACTGCATCAAATTGATAACCGCTATGTTCTACAGACTTTCAGCTTTGCAACTTCCAACATCATTACC